CGAATTCAAAATGTATACATACATCAAAACTTCAAAACATGGATAGAGGGATTAATCAGAAAAAATGAAAATAAATTCAAATCTAGGTATATTGAATGAGAGAGAGAGAGAGAGAGAGGGAAAAAAAAAAAAAAAACCCTTCGTCACTTTCTACCTCGTCGATGGTTCTTACTGGGGTGATTTGGTTGACCTAGCCCAGAGGTATGTCTCACCAGCAGAAATTGACTACGAGGTAGTGATCGAACCTTTTGGTTTGATAATCTTCGTTGAGGGATCTTCTTCATACATTTTCCTCCTCTATGAGAATAGTTATGTGCTCTGCTTGACTTCCAAATCTTTGACCCTGGATAGACCTATTCGAAACTCGTGGGCTTTAGGTGGCTTTATATCTCTATACCACAATTTTAGGAAGCACATAGATGTAGTCCAAGACGTTCAACACGCACGGTCAAACGAGAGATTGAGGATGAGACTTGAGAGGGATGAGTAAGGACTTTTTACGAGTGTCAGCCATATCTCTTCATCTGTACTTTCTGAGATTATTACGAGTTCTCACCTTCCCTCATTCATTTTGTCCTTGCCTCGAGCCAAATCAATCTTGATCCTGTTTCATTGACATTGTTTGATGATATGCTCTTTGCTAATCTTGTCACAGTTCTCAATTTCCTAAATTGGCAATTATGATGTGCCATGTATTTTATTTTAATTTATTATTTGCAAAAATTGCAAATATTGTTCCGAATCATAATCCAAAATTCCTAAGACCAAGGACCGATGTAGACCGTAATAGAAGGGTCTCACTCGAAGCCGAACGCACACAATAGGAAGGGATTTGCATTATTCATTAATTATTTATTGCAAAAATAAAGCAAAATCCTGCATGACAGTCTGTCCTCTTTCCGGTCGCCAGAAGTGGCCTGATAGAAAAAAGTGCGATAGCGGGTCTGCCTGGGCCTGGAGGCCGTGCGCCTAGTAGCCTGGCTTCGGGCCTAAGTGTCTGCGCCGAAACAATATAGACAGTGGCCGCAATAGTTTAGCGGCCCAACTCTGCGGCGTAGCCAGCGTCGCTCACAGGGATGCTGTATTGGCCGAAAGGCCTCTGGCCACGTTGCTGCTCTGGAGAGCCCAAAGACTCCAAATGTCGTAATCCCACCGACGCACACCTTGTAACCAACTGCCGCGTGGCGACTGTCTGGCACCCTCACATGCAGAAATGACAAAAAGAAGGCCTCATGTCGAAATACAGGCCCGCCTTCACTTAGGGTGGGTACAAGGCTTGCTGGGGACCCCTTGGTCTGTCGAGTAGCTTCACGAGCTAAATCTCTTCCCTCATTGCGTGCTTGTACGCAAGCTTCCAAAGCTACTCGGTTAGCTACAGCTCCTGGAGCGTTTCCCCAAGGATGGCCTTCATGGTGATCAGACACTCTCACCCTCACAATGAAAAAGAGAGATGTTCTCTTTTACCTTTTTTATTTTTTGCTTAATGCAGTACCCCTTCACATTGTTGCACCTGCCTTTTTTTCGTTGAGCTGGAATTATTCTGACTTCTGAACAGATGGGTGTTATTTCATCCACACGTGTATCTGGGAAGAAGAAGAAGAAGAAGAAGAAGAAGAAGAAGAAGAGGAAGAGGAAGAAGAGGAGAAGAAGACGAAGAAGAAGAAGAAGAAAAGTTACATACGTAGCATTCCACCACCTGAGCTAAAAGCGGCTGAATAAATAGAGAGAAGGTTATCCAAGTTGTCAGCCAAAAAGAATCAAGGATTGGAAAAAGAATCAAGGATTGCCTGCATTTTTTTATTTTTTTGAAGGCTCTTGTATATTGGTAGGGAACTTCACCTCCTGAAAATTGGGTCCCGTACCTTCGTGAAAAAAAAAAACACTAACAACGATCGACTGAAAATCCCTGTGGTAGAGTCTTCCAGCTTGAGCAATCAGCTCATCAAAATGTTTCATGATAATTATCATGGGCCTGAGAAAAAAAAAGTTTTAAAAACAAAAAACAACCATCATGTGCTGGTTCACCCCTACTCCCAGTCTAGCAATGACTTACAAGAAGTCGCTCGGCTACCATCTTCACCCAAACTAGAACGCCTGGTTATTATAGCTGTATTTGGTCCAACTTTCAGTAAACATGCAGTACGATATTGACCGATAATTCTATTCCGTAGTCATTCAAACTCTCCATTACACTTGTCCTGTTAGACCCAATCTCTTTCAGCCTCCAGGAGGGGTTGCCGAAATGAAAACAACCTCAGGGACACAAACACTGCCTCTCGAAAACGAACACAACCTCAGGTACACAAACACTGCCGCTGGAAAATGAAAACAACCTCAGGTACACTAAATGAACCTCAGGTACAGAAAACCAACCTCAGGTACAAAACACAACCCTGTCAGGTGCACAAACACAAAACCTTAGGTGCATAGATTAGTAGCGAACTGCTACGTGTTTGCACCTGATCGTAAGGGTGCCCTGCCACAATGGCGCATGCTTTTTTTCCTTTTCTTCTTGTTCTTTTTGAAAGGGCGACCGCCAACCCTGCACCCTAAATGCTGCCGTCTTCACTCGAAAATAAAGCCCTCGTTCATAACGCCCAGGCGTTATGATCTGAAGCGTTTTTCGACTTCGAAGTGACAGATGCAGATCCCAGGGTTCGATCCCCAGACCTCACCTCACCCATGTAAGTACCCCTGTGTGTTTGAACTCGTGACCTGTGTTTTGGTAGTTAACTGTTGCCTGTCGTAGGTCTGTGTAGCTGTAGGGGTTCGATCTGTAGGTCTGTCGACTAGGGGTCATAGTTGTGTAGAGGCTGTTACATGCTGCGCCTGCAACAGGCTGCACGGGCCATTCCCAGGCCCGTGACGTTTTCAGGCCAAAAGCCTGAAAACAAGGGCCTACAGGCCCTGTGTCGTTTCAACCTGAAAGCCTGAAAACAAGGGCCTACAGACCCTGTGTCATTTCATGCTAAATCAGGGCCTTTCCGGCCCTGAGTGTTTTCAGCCTAAAACTGAGGGCCATTTTCGGGCCCTCATCGGTTCGACCTGCCCTGAAACTCAGGCAACAAACCAGGGTTTTAGCACAGGCCATTTCGGGCCTGTTTTCAAGACAACCCCTGGTTGAGCTTCAACGCCAGGGTCTGGCATATTTCGGCATTGGCAAGAGCAGCCTCCTGGACGGGCCAGCACTATATAGGACTGGCCCGTCCTGCAGGCAGGCAGGTAGTCCCTAGGTGCTTCCCAGGCACTTCACGTGCAGTTCAGGAGGCAGGAGGTAGTCTTCAGGATGTGGCGGCAGCACTCTGGAGGAGCGTTGCAGTAGTAGTAGCGTTAGCTGCAGTCTTCAGCGTCGGGCGCCATAGCAGCTAGAGTAGTACTAGAGAGAGAGAGATTGGGCGRAGGCCAGRGRGACTTACCTGCAGCGCCATTGCTCCAGCTTCGTCTTCGAGGTACGTGCAGCACAGCGCCATCTTCACAAGTTAGTACCAGGCACATGAGAGAGAGAGTTATTCTTCTTCCTCTTCTCAGTCCACCATCTCCTTCTCACCCTCTCGCTATCTGACTTCACTGCATCAGTAGACTACGAGGGAGAGAGAGAGAGAGCTTGGTGGCATTTGGATCCTGACTTGACGTTGGACTTCAAACATTTTGAAGAGGGATTATTTGGGACTTGTAACTAGACTTGGTGTTGACGACTTTCCCATCTCCCCCTTCCTCTTCTTCGTCTGATCCCCTCCGCTTCGTCCGTGTATGTCTGGACCTGGTGCCGTTTTCCTGTGTATAGCGCCAGGCCCCTTCACACCTTGTGATGAGCATGGTGTATGTTTGGTCTGCGTTGAAACATTGACTGGGCTAGTCATTAGTATTCTAGCATTCTGCTTCGCTATCTTGTACTTCGTGAAAGAGGTCAGTCCCGGTCAAGTCAGGCCTTGTATCTAAATCTTCCACTGCGCTATAAACACCATTTTGTATGTATCGGAATGCACATTGCTTGTTGAGATTCCACTTGCACTGCATTGTCCATTCAGTCATTTTTATCACATAACCGCACGTGAATCAGGACAACCTGATCTGAAACGTGTGCAGGGACTAGGTAGCTGATTAGTTTTGATTGATTGATTAGAGCACAATAGTTAGCCCCCAAAATCACGATTTTGACCTCACTGCCGAAAAATCAAAATTTTTTTCTTTTCTTGGATTTTGTTTTCCCACTATATCTGTTGTGGAAAATCGCAATATCGCAACATCTGAAATTTCCGGTTTCATTTTCTTCTGAAAATCCGAAATTTCGTTTTTGGAAATCCGGAATATTTTTTTCTCAAAAAATTCAATCTCCTTTTGCTATTCCCGTTCTTTGGAAATTCAGAATATTTTTTTCGAAATTCGTTTTTCTGAAAACGGTACGGGAAATCCCTCTTGCAGTACCATTTTCCAAACTGTGAATACTCTCATCTGAGTAAGTCCGAATACTTGTTATTTCTTTTCGGAATTTTTTTTTATTCGCAATTCTATGATTTTCACTACCTTATAATCATTGGCAGTCTGATGTTCGAAATTTTTTTTCTCATTGATAATTTCGCACTTCAAGGGACGTAAGGAGACCTACTGAACTTGCAAAACTCGGGAGTTTTATTTTTCTCGATTCGTTTTTTTCAAAGTTCAAACTTTTCTTTTTTGATTAGTGGCTCCTTGTCTGGGTGATTTATCCCCACCCACCCCTCCCCACCTATGTTGTTGCCCCCTCTCGTCTTACCTTCTCTATCTGTCTCCGGGTACCCCCTGCGGCGGCATTGGTGAGTTGCCACATCAGCAGACCACGTCAGCAGGCCACGTCAGCCGACAGCAGTGCCACGTCAGCAGCAGGGAGTACCACGTCAGCAGGCCCCCGGCCTGGTCTATGCTTTTGCACTCACAAACAGCCGTCATGGACCAGAAGTCCGGGGAAACGGACGAGGCTTATCAGGCCCATATGCTGCTTCTGATTACCGAAGCTAAGCAACGGTCGGATGCAGTAGCAGCCGCAGCAAAGAAGAAGGCAGAGGACGCCGAGAAGTATGCTGGCAATTGAACAGCAGCACCAGTACGACGAGGCAGCAGCAAAGGCTGCCAATGCAGATCGAGTTCAGCGTCGCGAGAAGATATTCAGCGGAGAGCAAGCTTTTCTCACAATGGCAGCCGATTGGCGGGTCGAGGCCGAGAATGGCAAGATGGAAGAGAGTGAAAACAAGATCGCTCTACTCCTTTCCTATCTCACGGACCTCCTGGCAACATGCATTACACAGCAGGAGGACATCCACAGCCTTGACGACGCGCTGACTCAAGTCCACAGCCGCCTCCGGCAGCTGGAGCAGCGACCCGTCGCCGCCCCCGATGCTAGCTCTTCCAACACCTCCGATCGCCTTGAGGCATTGGAGATTGACGTCGGATCCCTCAAGGACGGCGTGCAGTTACAGCAAATTGCAACGCTACAATTGGAGCAGCGGATCTGTACTGGCGCCAACCACTCGAGCTCGGAACCGCGTGAGACAGCTCCAGAGTTCGATGGGCAGGAGATCTTCTGCGACTCGACGAAGATGACCCGATTTCATGGTTCCGCAAGTTTGAGCTCACATTGCAGCTACACTACATCAAGGAACACAAGCACCATGGGTACTTATAATCCCGCTCGGGGCGGGGGTGCTAAGCATGGTTGGACAATCTCTTGTCCAAGTACGGAGTGGTAGCTGCCGACTTGCATACCAAGATCAACTGGGATGATCTAAAGGCGGCGTGGCATAAGCGGTTCCAAGTAGTGCCGCCGGAGATCAAGGCAATGGACAAGCTGATGGTCTTCGAACAAGGCACGCTACCGAGTGTCGATTAGATTGTCGAGTACCAACGCTTGACATCCGTCCTTGACATTCAAATGGGCTTCAAAGCCATCAAACACTACTTCATCTCGAGGTCGTATCCGGCGTTGGGCAATGCCTTGACTCACGTCGAGGACACCCTGACGACACCGACATAACTTTTTGACAAGGCCGCGCAGATTATTGTCACGAACAAGGAGGCCAAGAATCTCCCGCGTTCGTTTGCGCCAGGCCTGGGCAGAGATCAGCATTGGCCGAAAGTGGCCGTGGTCGCGGCGGCAACGCCAAAGGACCAAACTAGCGAGGCCGTGTCTGCCAATGAAGGGGACAGACTCGCAGCCGACAGGGAAGGTGGCCGCCCCTGCAAAGGCTGAGGACGAGGCAAGGCGAAGACAAACACCGTATCTAGCCGCGGGCCCGGCGCATCAGCTCCAGCCCCATGGTCCCACTTCGGTCTCTCCGAAACGGCGCACAAAACACGCACGAGATTCCACTATTGCCTATGGTGCAACAACGATCTCCATGAGACAGTGGCCTGCCAGTGGAAAGGCAAGGGCAAATCGGAAAACTGCGCACCGCCGAGAGTGACTCGACGATACTCTCGACGCCTTTGGAACATGTCACTTCGCGGGTGGCCACCTTTCGTTCCGAGGCACATGCGAAATTCGATAGTCCTCCTCTTCTTTACTATTTTGAGGACTATACTGCCCGGCTCGTTCCTACGCTGGGTACTCATGCTCAAGGACAAGACGTGTATGTCGCATTTTCTCCGTCCGGCAATGGCGACTTATCGTCTTCAAGTGGTTCTTCACAGGATTCGGCGCGCGAGTTCATCATAGAGGTATTGGACCCGCTCACATCCGAGGATTACACATGGCTTCCTCTCCCGGCCACGGGCCACTTGCCGGGATCGCAATGCGAAGCACTATGCGCTCATCTTCACACGTACTTATCCTTCTATGCACCACCAACTTCGTCGATGGATGACGAAGTCGCGGTGGGGGACATCCTTGCGTATGTTACCAGGGTGGTCCACGAGTTCGGCAATCAGTGGAACGACAACAACAACCCACCAGTCCTCTATGTCCGCATCCAAGTTGGGCAAGCGTCCTGCAGCACTTTGCTGGATAGCGACGCGTCTCGCAGTTTTATGAGTCAAGCCTTTATGCAAAAGGCCGGCCTTGGCGCACAAGTTCGAAGGAAGGCAAACCCGACGGCGATCAAGTTGGCGGACAGAAGGACGCAGAAACTTATCGACCGCTACATCGAGGCCGTACCGGTATATTTCGCACCTCATGCATGCGAAGCGGTGATGTTCGACATTTTGGACAAGGACTTAGACATTATTTTGGGAATGCCTTGGCTTGCAAGTGCAGATCACACAGTCAACTTCCGCCGGCAGACTCTTACTGTTCACGACGCCTTCGGCGCCGAAGTGTCGTGTACTATTCCTCTTCCGCACCCTTCGATTCGGTGCCAAGTGGTGACGGCCAAATCATTCCGGGCTACTTGTGCTTACGAGAAGGCCGACGAAATCGGCCTATGCTTCCTACGGACCGTCGCGGTAGCCGACTTTTCACCCACGAACTTGTCTTCGGACCCCCGTGTGGTGCGGTTGCTTGACGAGTTTGCCGAGATCTTCGAGTCACCTACCGGTGTGGTGCCGGATCGGCCAATCTCTCACGAGATCATTCTCGAAGCCGGTGCCGTGCCGCTGAAAGGTTGCATTTATCGCATCAGCGAGGAGGAGCTTATGGTCCTTCGCGCGCAACTCGATGATTTATTGGACAAGGGTTGGATCCGCCCTAGTAGCTCTCCATACTGAGCGCTAGTCTTCGTACGAAAGAAGAACAAAGATCTACGATTGTGCATCGACTTCCGCAAGCTCACCGTGCAAACCGTCAAGAATGCGGGGCCTCTTCCTCGCATGTTCTTGAGCAATTGAGCTACGCAAAGTATTTTTCTAAGTTGGATTTGAAGTCGGGATATCATTAAATCTCGATCCGACCGAACGATCGCTACAAATCCGCATTCAATACGTGGTATGGGCGTTTCGAGTGGGTGCTCACGCGTTTTGGCCTCACCAACGCCCCGACGACCTTTCAAGCGACAACGACCAACTAGTGTCGTGCAATATTGGACCGGTTCGTGGCGGTTTACTTAGACGATATTCTCGTCTATAGTCGATCATTGGACGATCATCTTGAGCACCTTCGACGAGTGTTGGAGACACTCCGCCGCACCAAGCACAAGGCCAACCGCGACAAGTGCGAATTTCTCTGGCAAGAGCTGGAATACTTGGGCCATTTTGTCACACCGGAGGGCGTCAGTCCGCTATCGGACAAGATTCAAGTCATCCAAAAGTGGCCGGAGCCACGGAATGTCACGGATGTCCGTTCGTTCCTTGGCCTCGTCGGCTACTACCAGCGTTTTATCAAGGGCTACTCGAAGATCGCGGCCCACTTGACCAAGCTTCAATGCGAGGATCGACCGTTCGACTTCGGAGAGGATGTGTAGGAATCATTTTTGGCTCTCAAAGCCGCGCTATTATCTGCGGAGGTCTTGCGCATATACGACCCGCTTTTGCCTACGCGTGTCACTACGGATGCATCTGGCTATGGCATTGGTGCCGTCCTCGAGCAACACGATGGCGTGAACTAACACGTGGTCGAGTAGTTCAACAAGAAAGTGTCCGTCGTGCACTCCATTGACGATGCACACAAGGAGGAGTTCCTCGCCTTTGTCCACGCGCTCAAGCGGTGGCGGCACTTCCTCCTTGGTCGAAGCCAATTCCGATGGGTAACGGACAACAATCCATTGAACTTTTACAAGACCCAAGACACCGTCAACAGCATCATCGCTTGATAAATGACTTTCATCGACCAATTCGACTTCTTTCCCGATCACATTCCGGGGAAGTCGAACCGTTTTGCGGATGCTCTTTCACCACGTCCGGATCATTGTACCGCAGTCTATTCAACCTTCGAGATCGACAACGACCTGCGGGACAGCTTCATCCGCGACTACCAAACCGGCCCCGAGTTTCGCGACAAGTACGCGAATTGCTCCTCTCCTAATCCGGCGCCTTCTCACTACGGGATCCAAGAGGGGTACTCGCTTGTCCACACACGGGGGAAGGACCTTCTTTGCGTACCGAATGACCCTCACTTGCGTACACGGCTTCTTGGCGAGTTCCACGATGCCCCCGCCACTAGACACTTTGGAGTCAATTGCACGATTGGCCGACTTCGCGAGCGATTTTGGTGGCCTGGCCTTCTCGGTGACGTCACACACTGTTGCGAGTCATGCGAGGTTTGCCGACGCTGCAAATCTCGCAATCATCGTCTATATGGCGAGCTGCGACCATTACCGGTCCCCTTGTGGCGAAGGGAAGCGATTGCCATGGACATTACCGGCCCGTTCCCCAAGCACAAGACCGGCGTGGATGGGATTCTCACGGTGGTCGACCGACTCACCAAGTTCGCCATGTTCTTGCCTTGCCGCTATCATGCCAAGGCACCGAAGTTGGCTGAGGTTCTTTACGCCGGTTGGATTCGAACCAAGGGTTACCCCAGGGAAATCGCCTGCGACTGCGACACTCGGTTCATCTCCGATTTTTGTTCTGCACTCATCAAACGACGGGGCTCATCTCTCAAGCCAAGTTCGGCTCACCACCCCCAAACCGATGGCCAAACGGAGAGGGCGCATCAGACCGCACAGGTTCTCCTTCGCACTCTCATACGCCCCGACCAGAAGGATTGGATTGAGCGGGCTATCGGGATGTCGCCCTTCGAGTTCGAGCACGGCTCGCCGGTCATTTCGTCGTTGGACACAATCATTCCACGAACGACCGAGAGTGACGACCATCTTTTTTTCTTGCGGCGGTTGCAAGAGCTACTTGTCAAGGCACGCGACCAGATGGCCAAGACGCAACAGCGCATGAGCCAACAGGCCAATTGCCAGCGTTTTCCTTGCCCATTCCGCGTTGGCGATCTCGTTTGGGTTTCCGTCGCAGAATTCAGCCTTGAACAAGATATCTCTCGCAAGCTCCTCCCAAAATGGATGGGGCTCTGGCCGATCGTGGCACCCGTCGGGGATGCACCCGAGGGACCTTCCTTCACTATTCAGGTGCCTGCCCACTTGCCCGTCTACCCAGTCTTTCATTGCTCCAAGTTGGCTCTTTACACGCCAGCGGAACATTATGATTTTCCCGGGCAACATTTGCAAGACCCACCCTCTATGGACGGTTTTCAGGAGGTCGGCGACATCATCTCCCAGCGACGCTACGACAACAGGCCAACTGAGTACTTGGTACATTTTGCGTACAGCACTCACAAAGTTGACCGTTGGTTGACCCGTGCGGAACTCCAAGCAACAGCTCCGGATGTTCTCGCACACTACGAACGCAAAATGCAAGGCAAGCCAGTATCTTCAGCTCCACGTCGCACCCTCGTCCAGGTTCCACCTTCAGATCGTCAGCTACGCTCTCGACCCGGCTTGACTTCATAAGGAGGGGGGGGTGTTATATGTTGCGCCTGCAACAGGTTGCAAGGGCCATTCCCAGGCCCGTGACGTTTTCAGGCCAAAAGCCTGAAAACAAGGGCCTACAGGCCAGTGTCTTTTCAACCTGAAAGCCTGAAAACAAGGGCCTACAAGCCCTGTGTCGTTTCAGGCTAAATCAAGGCCTTTCCGACCCTGAGTGTTTTCAACCTGAAACTGAGGGCCATTTTCGGGCCCTCATCGGTTCGACCTGCCCTGAAACTCGGGCAACAAAGCAGGGTTTTAGCATAGCCCATTTCGGCCTATTTTCAAGACAACCACTGGTTGAGCTTCAACGCCAGGGTCTGGCACGTTTCGGTAGTGGCAAGAGCAGCCTCCTGGATGGGCCAGCACTATACAGGATTGACCCGCCCTGCAGGCAGGCAAGTAGTTCCTAGGTACTTCCCAGGCACTTCACGTGCAGTTCAGGAGGCAGGCGGTAGTCTTCAGGATTCGGCAGCAGCACTCTGGAGGCGTTAGCTATAGTCTTCAACGCTGGGCGCCATAGCAGCTAGAGTAGTACTAGAGAGAGAGATTGGGCGGAGGCCAGAGGGACTTACCTGCAACGTTATTGCTCCAGCTGCGTCTTCGAGGTACCTGCAGCCCAGCGCCATCTTCACAGGTTAGTACCTGGCACATGAGAGAGAGAGTTCTTCTTCTTCTTCTTCTCAGTCCACCATCTCCTTCTCACCCTCTCGCTCTCTGACTTCACTGCATCAGCAAACTACGAGGGAGAGAGAGAGAGAGAGAGCTTGGTGACATTTGGATCCAGACTCGACGTTGGACTTCAGACATTTTGAAGAGGGATTATTTGGGACTTGTAACGAGACTTGGTGTTGACGGCTTTCCCATCTCCCCCTTCCTCTTCTTCGTCTGATCCCCTCCTCTTCGTCTGTGTATGTCTGGACCTGACGCCTCTTTCCTGTGTATAGCGCCACGCCCCTTCACACCTTGTGATGAGCATGATGTATGTTTGGTCTGCGTTGAAACATTGATTGGGCTAGTTATTACTATTCTAGCATTCTGCTTCGCTATCTTGTACTACGTGAAAGAGGTCAGTCTCGGTCAGGTCAGGACTTATATCTAAATCTTCCAGTGTGCTATAAAGTTAGTATAAACACCATTTTGTCTGTATCGGAATGCACATTGCTTGTTGAGATTCCACTTGCACTGCATTGTCCATTCAGTCCTTTTTATCACATATCCTCGGTTTATATGTACATCGCCCAACTGGGCATGTAACAGTTGGAATCGGAAAACCGCACGTGAATAAGGACAACCTGATCTGACACGTGTGCGGGGACTAGGTGGCTGATTAGTTTTGATTGATTGATTAGAGCACACTAGTTAGCCCCCAAAATCACGATTTTGACCTCATTGCCAAAAAATAGAATTTTTTTCCTTTTCTTGGATTTTGTTCTCCCGCTATATCAGTTGTGGAAAATCGAAATAGCGCAACATCTGAACTTTTCGTTTTCGTTTTCTTCTGAAAATCCGAAATTTCGTTGTTGGAAATCCGGAATATCGTTTTCTCAAAAATTTCGATCTCCTTTTGCTATTTCCCGTTCTTTGGAAATTCGGAATATTTTTTCCGAAATTCGTTTTTCTGAAAAAGGTACGGGAAATCCCTCTTGCAACACCATTTTTCAAACTGCGAATACTCTCATTTGAGTAAGTCCGAATACTTGTTATTTCTTTTCGGAATTTTTTTTATTCGTAGTTCTATGATTTTCACTACCTTATAATCATTGGCAGTCTGAAGTTCGAATTTTTTTTTCTCATTGATAATTTCGCACTTCAAGGGAGGTTGGGAGACCTACTGAACTTGCAAAACTTGGGATTTTTATTTTTCTCGAAACTTTTTTTTCAAAGTTCAAACTTCTCTTTTTTGAGTAGTGGCTCCTTATCAGGGCGATTTATCCCCACCCACACCTTCCCACCGATGTTGTTGCCCCCTCTCGTCTTACCTTCTCTATCTGTCTCCGGGTACCCCCTGCGACGACATTGGTGAGTTGCCACGTCAGCAGGCCACGTCAGCCGACAATAGTGTCACGTCAGCAACAGGGAGTAACATGTCAGCAGGCCCCCGGCCTGGTCTGTGCTTTTGCGCTCGCAGACAGCCGTCATGGACCAGAAGTCCGGGGAAACGGACGAGGCCTATCAGGCCCGGATGCTGCTTCTGATTACGGAAGCCAAGCAACGGTCGGATGCGGTAGCAGCCACAACAAAGAAGGCGGCAGAGGACGCCGAGAAGGCACGTCTGCTGGCAATTGAACAACAGCGCCAGTACGACGAGGCAGCAACAAAGGCTGCTAATGAAGAACGAGTTCAACGTCGCGAGAAGATATTGAGCGGAGAGCAAGCTTTGCTCACAATGGCAGCGGATTAGCGGACGGAGACCGAGAATGGCAAGATGGAAGAGAGTGAAAACAAGATCGCTCTACTCCTCTCCCATCTAACGGACCTCCTGGCAACATGTATTACAAAGTAGGAGGACATCCACAACTTCGATGATGCGCTGACTCAAGTCCACGGCTGCCTCCGACAGTTGAGCAGCGACCCGTCGCCGCCCCTAATGCCAGATCTTCCAACATCTCTGATCGCCTTGATGCATTGGAGAATGACGTCGGATCCCTCAAGGACGGCGTGCAGTTACAACAAACTGCAACGCTACAATTGGAGCAACGGATCTGTACTGCCGCCAACAACTCGAGCTCGGAACAGCGCGAGACAACTCCAAAGTTCGATCGACAGGAAATCTTCTGCGACTCGACGAAGACGGACCAGATTTCATGGTTCCGCAAGTTTGAGCTCACGTTACAACTACACAACATCAAAGAACACAAGCACCACAGATACTTATACTCCCGCTCGGGGGGCGCGTGCCAAGCATGGTTGGACAATCTCTTGTCCAAGTACGGAGTGGTAGCTGCCGACTTGCATACCAAGATCAACTGGGATAATCTAAAGGCGGCGTGGCATAAGCAGTTCCAAGTAGAGCCGTCGGAGATCAAGGTAATGGACAAGTTGATGGTCTTCGAACAAGGCACGTTGTCGAGTGTTGATTGGATTGTCGAGTACCAACGCTTAACATCCGTTCCAGACATTCAAATGGGCTTCAAAGCCATCAAACACTACATCTTGAGATCGTGTCCGGTGTTCCGTCGAGGACACCCTCACGACACCGACATAACTTTTTGACAAGGCCGCGCAGATTATTGTCACGAACAAGGACGCCAAGAATCTCCCGCGTTCGTTTGAGCCAGGCCTAGGCAGACATCAACATCGGTCGAAAATGGCCGTTGTCGCGGCGGCAATGCCAAACGACCAAACTAGCGAGGCCATGTCTACCAATGAAGGGGACAAACTCGCAGCCGCCCGGGAAGGTGGCCGCCCCGGTAAAGGCTGAGGACTCGGCAAGGCGAAGACAAACACCGCATCTAGCCCCGAGCCCGGTGCATCAGCTCCAGCCCCATCATCCCAGTTCGATCTCTCCGAAACGTGTACAAAGCACGCACGAGATTCCAATATTGCCTATCATGCAACAACGATCTCCATGAGACAGTGGCCTACCATTCGAAAGGCAAGGGCAAATCAGAAAACCGAGCACCGCCGAGAGTGACTCGACGACACTCTCGATGCCTTTGGAACCGATCACTTCGCGGGTGACCGCCCTTCGTTCCGAGGCACATGCGGAAGTCGATAGTCCTTCTCTTCTTTATTCTTTTGAGGACTATGCTGCCTGGCTCGTTCCTACGCTGGGTACTCATGCTCAAGGACAAGACGTGTGTGTGGCATCTTCTCCGTCCGACAACGGCGACTTATCGTCTTCAAGTGGTTCTTCACGGGATTCGGCGCGTGAGTTCAACATAGAGGTATTGGACCCTCTCACGTCCGAGGATTTCGCATGGCTTCCTTTCTCGACTACGGGCCGCTTGCCGGGACCACAATGCGAAGCCCTATGTGCTCGTCTTCACACGTACTTATCCTTCTATGCACCACCAACTTCACTGACGGATGACGAAGTCGCGGTGGGCGACATCCTTGCGTATGTTACCAAGGTGGCCCGCGAGTTTTGCAATCAGCGGTACGACGACAACGACACACAACTCCTCTATGTCCGCATCCAAGTTCGAAAAACGTTCTGCAACGCTTTCCTGGATAGCGGCGTCTCGCAGTTTTATGATCCAAGCCTTTATGCAAAAGGCTGGTCTTGGCGCACAAGTTCGAAGGAAGGCAAGCCCGACGGCGATCAAGTTGGCGGACGGAAGGACGCAGCAACTTATCGACCTCATGCATGCGAACCGGTGACATTCGACATTTTGGACACGGACTTCGACATGATTTTGGGAATGCCTTGGCTTGCAAGTGCGGATCACACGGTCAACTTCCGCCGGCGGACTCTTACCATTAGTGACGCCTTCGGCGCCGAAGTGTCGTGTACTATTCCTCTTCCGCACCCTTCGATTCGGTGCCAAGTGGTGACGTCCAAATAATTCCGGGCTACTTATGCTTACGAGCAGCCCAACGAAATCGGCCTATGCTTCCTACGGACCGTCGCGGTAGCCGACTTTTCACCCACGGACTTGTCTTAGGAACCCCGTGTGGTGCGGTTGCTTGGCGAGTTCGCCGACATCTTCGAGTCACCTACCGGCGTGGTGCCGGATCGGCCAATCTCTCACGAGATCGTTCCCTAGGCCGAAGGTTGCATTTATTGCATGGGCGAGGAGGAGCTTACGGTCCTCCGCGCGCAACTCGATGATTTGTTGGACAAGGGTTGAATCCGCCCTAGTAGCTCTCCATACAGAGCGCTAGTTCTCTTCGTACGGAAGAAGAACAAAAATCTACGATTGTGCATCGACTACCGCAAGCTCAACGCGCAAACCATCAAAAATGCGGGGCCTTTTCCTCGGATCGACGATCTTCTTTAGCGATTGGGCGACGCGAAGTATTTTTCTAAATTGGATTTTAAGTCGCGATATCATTAAATCTCAATCCGACCGAACGATCGTTACAAATCCGCGTTCAAGACGAGGTATGGGCATTTTGAGTGGGTGGTCATGCCTTTTGGCCTCACCAACGCCCCGGTGACCTTTCAAGCAGCAATGACCAACGAGTTCCGTGCAATGTTGGATCGGTTCGTGCAGGTCTACTTTGACGATATTCTCGTCTACACCCGGCCATTGGAGGATCATTTTGAGCACCTTCGACGATTGTTGGAGACACTCCGCCGCGCCAAGCACAAGGCCAACCGCGACAAGTGCGAATTTGTCCGGCAAGAGCTGGAATACTTGGGCCATTTTGTCACACCGGAGGGCATCAGTCCGCTATTGGACAAGATTCAAGCCATCCAAGAGTGGCGAGAGCCACGGAACGTCACGGATGTACATTCGTTCCTTGGCCTCACCGGCTACTACCACCGTTTTATCTAGGGCTACTCGAGGATCGCGGTCCACTTGGCCAAGCTTCAATGCGAGAATCGACCGTTTGACTTCGGAGAGGATGCGCGGGAATCATTTTTGGCTCTCAAACCCGCGCTATTATCTGCGGAGGACTTGCGCATATACGACCAGCTTTTGGCTACACGTGTCACTACGGATGCATCTGGCTATGGCATTGGTACCGTCCTCGAGCAACACGATGGCGTGGACTGGCACCCGGTCGAGTATTTCAGCAAGAAAGTGCCCGTCGTGCACTCCATTGACGATGCACGCAAGAAGGAGAGTTCATCGCCTTCGTCCACGAGCTCAAGCGGTGGCGGCACTTCCTCTAGCCAATACCAATGGGTAACGGACAACAATCCGTTGGTCTTTTACAAGACCCAAGACACCGTCAACAGCGCCATCGCTCGATGGATGACTTTCATCGACCAGTTCGACTTCTTTCTCGATCACATTCCAGGGAAGTCGAACCGTTTTGCAGATGCTTTTTCACGGCGTCCGAATCATTGTACCGCGGTCTATTCAACCTTCGAGATCGACAACGACCTGCGGGACAGCTTCATCCGCGGCTACCAAACCGGCCCCGAGTTTCTCGACAAGTACGTGAATTGCTCCTCTCCTAATCTGACGCCTTCTCACTACCGGATCCAAGAGGGGAACTCGTTTGTCCACACACGGGGGAAGGACCTTCTTTGAATACCGAGTGACCCTCACTTGCGTATACGGCTTCTTGGCGAGTTCCACGATGCTTCCGCCACCGTCAATCGAACGATTGGCCGACTTCGCGAGCGATTTTGGTGGCCCGGCCTTCTCGGCGACGTCACACGCTATTGCGAGTCATGCGAGGTTTGCCGACGCTGCAAATCTCGCAACCATCGTCCATACGGCGAGCTGTGACCATTACCGGTCCCCTTGCGGCGAAGGGAAGCGATTGCCATGGACATTACCGGCCCGTTCCCCAAGCACAAGACCGGCGTGGATGGGATTCTCACGGTGGTCAACCAACTCACCAAGTTTGCCATGTTTTTGCCTTGCCGCTATCATGCCAAGGCACCGGAGTTGGCCGAGGTTCTTTACGCCAGTTGGATTCGAACCAAGGGTTACCCAGGGAAATCGCCTGCGACCGCGATACTCGGTTTATGTCCGATTTTTGGTTGGCGCTCATCAAACAATGGGGCTCATCTCTCAAGCCAAGTTCGGCTGGCCACCCCCAAACCGATGGCCAAACGGAGAGGGCGCATCAGACCGCACATGTTCTCCTTCGCACTCTCATCCGCCCTGACCAGAAGGATTGGGTTGAGCGGCTGCCGGATGTCGAGTTGGCCTACAACTCGTCCATCCACCCGGCTATCGGGATGTCGCCCTTCGAGTTCGAGCACGGCTCGCCGGTCACTTCGTCGTTGGACACAATCATTGCCACCTGTTTGCATGTATGTGGAGTGAAGAAGAAAGCGAGTCTGATTGCATGATCAGTAAATTGGTGGCAACTTCGATCGGGCGCAAAATTCCAGGAAAAAAAAATCAAAAAAATTTGTAAAAACAATATGTTGTCCAGAATTGCAATGCGACCATTTTTTGGCTGAGAGTCGCTACAGAATTCCTTATAAACGCAGAAATAAAAAATAAAAACAAAAAATCAAACCGAAATATCCCCCTTGGAAGTCAAAACCCCCTTCACCCCCCTCTAAAACCCAGGTATATCCCCCCTCACCGACCTTTCAAACCCATGGGGTCCCCTGTATAGTCTTAGAAGTAGTGGTAGGTAGATAGTGAAAGAAAGGTATATTCCATGACACGGCAGAACGTCAGTTAAAAATATTTGAGGTGAAAGTGAAAACATATAGCTGTCCCCCGATGAGGAGAAGGCAGCCCCAGTTAAAAAAAAAAAAAAAAAACTCCCCAGGATATTCAGTAGGAGTTCATTTCATTCATCTGATTCCATCTGAATTCAAACCAGAATTGTCACCTGGGGATCCCTGGGTCCCGAGCCGGGGTAGGGGATTGAACCCCGAACCCCCGGCCCGGGGATCCCCGAACCCCACCCC